TTCTGGAAGCTTCGTGTTGGGCTGGCTACAACGCAAGTCTATAGGATCTGTGCAAACACAGGGTATGTTTGAGGCCTGCTTTATCATAGGACCTCAAAAACACAGAGCTGTCAGCTGCGAGAGGCCTCACTGTAATCCAGCCCCACAACCCTCCCCGTGGGCGCGACCATACTTATCAGATCTCTTTAGGCCAGGGGGTAGTTACCTTGTATCTACCCTGCACCTTCCAGTAAGACGCCTTACCTCTCACGAGACCCAGGAGATGCAGGCTTTCCTCAGGACCCCTGCCTTGGAAAGACGACGAGCTGGGTCTGCTTTCCTTTTTTTCAAGGCAATCAAAGATTTGAAATGCCGTATTTTATTTGATTTAGGGACGGGCTCCAGCTTGGCGGTTTAGAGCAATGCTGTGCAATAGAACTTTCTGTGTTGATGAAACGTTTTCTATGTTTGCTGCCCAGTATGGAAACCACTAGTCACGGGTGTTCTTTGGGCACTTGAGATGTAGCCCGTGTGACCAAGGCATGGAATTTTACATTCTATTTACTTGTAATTAATTTAAATATAAGTAACCACGTGGAGCCAGTGGCTATGGTACTGGATGGCACAAGTTTAGAGCATAGCCCCTGAGCTGGGCAGATCTGTGGCAGGCTGGGCATGATATTTACCCTTCCTGAACTTTTTTTCTCTCTTCTGTGTAATGGGGATCATAATGCACCTGGCTCATAGGACTGATTGGAGGATTAAGTAAGTAAATGAATAGAAAGCACTTAGCACAGTAAGCACGCAATGAATACCAGCTATTATCATTATTCTTTACAATCTCTAAGCTTCGGGGGCCTTAGTCATTTGGTCATCAAATATTTGAACACTTACAATGTACCAGACACCATTCTAGGCACTGGAGAGACAAAAATGAATCTTAAAGACCCTGCCCTCGGGAGAAGTCTCCATCTGATGGAGGGAAACTGACAAGTAATCAATCAAGGGCTGCCAGGCAGGAAGAGTAGCAGGTCTGGTGTGGCAGGGTCCCAGAGGAGACCTCCAAAATAGTCTCAGGTGGGGAGGAGGAGGTCAGGAAGGCTTCCTGGAGTTGGCAGTGTTGCTTTCTCGACATTTACGGACCCAGCTTAATCGCCTAGCTCCAAAACCCACCACCATTTGACCTTGTCTCTGTACCTTTCTGTTTTAGTTTCATTTCCTGCTGTAACGTTTTGCCACAAACTTAGTGGTTTAAAATAACACATTATTATCTTGCAGTTCTGAAGATCAGAAGTCTGAAATGGCTTTCACTGGGCTAAAATCAAGGAGTCAGCAAGGCCACATCCTTCTGGAGGCTGTAGGGGAGAATCTGTTTCCTTATCTTTTCCAGCTTCTTAGAGGCTGCCTTCGTGCCTTGGCTCATGGCCCTTCTTCCAAGTTCAAGGCCATAGCGTCTTCCAGTCTCTTCTCTCTCTGTTTTTCTCTGCTTCTGTCACCATCTCTCACTCTTGTCTCCTGCCTCTCTCCTATAAAGACCTTGTCATTACATTAAACCCACCTGGATAATCCAGGATCATCTACCATCCTTTTTGCCACGTAAAGTAACACATCCACAGGTTCTAGAGACTAGGACGTGGACGGACATCCTTTTCTGTTTGTTTAACAACTTTAGTGACATACAATTCTCAGAGCACACAGTTCATCTGTTTAAAGTGCGCAATTCACTGTTTTGTTTTGTTTTTTTGAGTATATTCACACAGTTGTACCACCATCGCCACAGTGAATTCTGGGACATTTTGTCACCTAAAGAAGAAACTTCAAGGGCGCCTGGGTGGCTCAGTTGAGCGTCTGCCTTTGGCTCAGGTCCTGATCTCTGGGTCCTGGGATTGAGCCCTGCATTGGGCTCCCTGCTCAGTGGGGAGCCTGCCTTTCCTTCTCCCTCCACTTGTGCTCTCTCTCTCTCAAATGAATAAATAAAATCTTAAAAAAGAAAAAAAGAAGAACCCTCATACCCTTTAGCTATCATTCCTCTATATTCCCACACACCTGCCCCCTACCCTAAGCAACTGTTAATCTACTTTCTGTCTCTCGAGATTTCCCTATTCTGGATATTTCATATCAATGGCATTCATACAGTAGGTGGTCTCTTGTTTCTAACTTTCACTGAACATAATGGTTTCAAAGTTTATCCATGTTGTAGCAGGTGTCAGTAATTTGTTCCTTTTTATTTGCTAAACTCTATTCCATTGTATGGATAGACCACATTTCGTTTATCCATTCATCCATTGATGGGCGTTTAGGTTGTTTCCATCTTGGGCTATTATGAATAATGCTGCTATAAACATTTGTTTGCAAGTTTCTGTGTGGACATCTGTTTTCATTTCTCTTGGATGTACGCCTAGGAGTGGAATTGCTGTGTTGGGTATGGACATCTGTGGGGAGCATTTCCTCTGTCTATCACACTCTTACTTCAAGATCTTGAAAGACTGATCTTGGAGAGCAGCCTGTGAACTCATTCACTTGGGTCTGGAGAGCAACTACTGCTGCACAAGGAGGCAAATTCGTAGGACGGCACAGGGCAGCAGGTAGGAGAGGCGGTGCCAGCGACCCCTTGGTAGGGATCAGCCGCTGCGGCCCTGCACACCCTCTAAAATGTTCACAAGCCATCCAGCTGTGTTTCATCTTTCCCTAGGACTCAGAGATGAATCTTTCCACAAACCTCTCCTCCTCCTGGAGCCGGTCTGAGTGGGTTCCTGTTGCTCACGTAAGACACTAATAATATCACAAGGTGGTTTGAGGATTTGGTGAAGCCTCAATGAGGAAACTCATATGAAAGAGGTGAAGTACTTTAGGAATGAAGGTGGGAGGGAGACCCAGGTGGAGCTCAAGCTCTGTTGAATGGGATCCAAGCCTGGGAAGGACTCTGGCAGTGTAAGACCCAGCAGAATGGATGTGGTAGGTGCTGGGCCCCTCAGAAGGAGACAGGAGCAGCTCAGGGGAGAGCCCTGGGGTGGGGGGTGGGGCGGCAGTGGGAGGAGGGGCTGGTGGCCAATGGTGCAAAGGGGACTTGTTGGGGACGTATATGAGGCATCTCTGGTATTCTCAGGGGTGGTCATGGGAACCCTAGAGAGCCAGGGGTGTGGCCAGGCAGGGGGAGGGGCTAGAGTCACAGAAGGCTTACAGTGCAGTGCCCTACCTTCCAAGCAGCAATTTGACACCCTCTCACTCGGATTTCCCACTGAAGAGAGCAGAGTGCCTGGCAGGCCGCCTCCTGCAGGCCACCAGAGCGGGCATGTGGCATCTCTGCGTGGGCAAGGCCCAAGGGTCACTGTGTAGACAGTGCCTTCCATTCCTGCTCCCTCTGGACGGCTTACAACCCAAGTCTCTCTCCAGGAGCCACCTTGAAGTAAGGGCTGGAATTCAAGAGAGTTAATATTTTTTGCAGGGAGGACAAAGGTTAAGTCAAATTGGCCCGCCTGGTCAAGTGACAGGGTAGGGGACAGCAGAGGCTGGGGCCAGAAAGGAGAATTACCTGGATATAGGCAGCTAAACAACTTTTTTCATGGGGTGGGCCACGGGGGAGAGGGAAGGACACACAGACGGGACAGGAGGAGGGAGATGAACTCAGGCAGGTCAGGTGGGCAGCAGGAGGATATTCAGAGGGGATGGAGGAAGGTGTCTGGGGGGGTGTGTAAGCGGGGAGGTGCCTTGTGGCGGGCACAGGAGGAGAGGCAGGATGGGGCGATCATTCACAGCACCATCATTTATTCACCCTGATAACAAACACGTACTGAGCGCGTGCTGGGCGCCGGACATCTCTCAGGCTCTGGATGCCAAGGTGATCAAGGTAACACCCCTGCCCTTAGAGCCAGGGCTCCATTAAGTCCCCTGCACCCCTAGAAGGTGGGCACTTCTGGCTCCCTTTCCCCACCCACACATGCATTCTTACCTCCAGGGGAGTCCTCTTTCTTTGGGACTAATAAATGGAGAATTATTTTACTGAAAAATGATCACAGCCCAAGCTCTTCAGAGTTTGTGTCTCTTCCTACAGGCAGCTCCAAAGGCACGATCAAAAGAGAGGAGCACCAAGCTCAGAGCCATGGCCTCAGGAGCTGACACGTGTCCCTGGAACCCTGTCTCCACTCATGGGAATCTGCTCTCCTCCTGGAGGCCCCCATTCCCCCCACCCCAAAATGCCCAGGTCCACAGACTGGCGAGCAAAAGAAGGGAACCCCTGAGACCTAGGGACGTGGCAGGAGTAGGGGTCCCGGGTTTGGAGACAAAGGCAGCATGGAATAATGGAATAGCAGGGAGAGCTCCAGAAACCAAGATATGTTCTCCATTCAAATCTGTTCTATGCCGCTCAAGAGCTGTGTGCCGCTGGGTATGTAGACCCTCTGAGCCTCGGTTGGTTCACTGCCCAGATGAGGAGAGCAGCCCCCAGGATAGATGCAGATGCTTCAGCTGGACAGTGTACGTGAGTGGGACCAGCCCCAGGGGCAGGTGATCCGGGGAAGGGAGCCCATCTCGTCCCTGACAGACACACGCGCAATCAGTTGCTTCCACCCGCATTCAGGCAGCTGAGCTTCTGAACTAGTCTAAAGGGCCTAAGGGGCAGGTCCGGCTATTTGCAAGAGGGATTACCACCCCGCCCTAAGGCTGAACTTCGCACAGAAGATGGGTTAATATTTTCCCTCCAGGAATCTTCAATCTGTATAGCACTTCTCAGTTTCACTACCCATTCTGTGGGGTGGATAGGAAAAGTAAACCCATTTTATAGGTGAGGAAACAGAGGCCCAGAGAAGTTAGATTCTCCCAGGGCCACTTAACTGGGAAAGACCCCTGGGCTGCCAGTGAGTTCAGGACATTTCTACCAAACTTGCCACCAACCAGAGGGGAACTACAGTTCTCAACCCTCCAGCTTCATCCATAGTTGAGGCAGAAGGGCACGTGTGAGAGCCCTGGGCAGGCTCAGAATTTGGTTCTTCTCAAATATCCACATAGCATTTATTTAGCCGAAGTTTAAGAAAGCCTCGTTCTTCTTTTCAACAAAAGTCTTTCTTTAAATGTCAAAAGAAGGGATTTGTGACATACACTAGCTGTAACCACCATCCTAACCTAATTGAATTTGCCTTGATTGAATTTTTCCATCACTCATAGCACTGGTGACTCACACTCACCAGGAGAGGAGTGCGAGCATAGATACAGTTACAAAATCTTCTTCAAAATGTGCTTTAAAATTTTTTCCCAGCATTCATGTCAGCAAAATATTTCCCACTTTTCTGCGGTTTTACTCGTTTTCATTTTTTTTCTGCAGTTGTGAAACCAGACAATGTCTTGGGAGCTGCATCAGTTAGGTGGCTTATGGCCATAAGAAACCCCAAACTCACTTCAACAATGGAGAACTCCATCGTTCCACAGATCTGCTCATCCAGATGTAGGAAGGCTTCAGGATCAGCTGGGTCCAGTAGCTCAGCTCCATTTCCCCAAATTCCTTTCACTGTGTTTTCCTCCAAGCCTTGGCTTTCATGCATGAGCTGGTTCATCTTATAGGAGTAAAATGGCTGCAGTGAGTAGCCAGAAGGTGGAAACAGTCCAAGTGTCCATCGACAGATAAATGGATAAACAACATGGCGTACATACGTACAGTGGAATGTTATTCGGCCATGTAAAAGAAGGAAATCCTGACACGTGCTACAACATGAATGAACCTTGAAGGCATTATCAGTGAAATAAGCCAGTCACAAAAAGATGAATCCTGCATGATTCCACTTACATGAGGTACCTAGAGTACGAAAATTCAGAGACAAAAGAATAGAGTGGCGGTTGCTAAGGGCTGGGGATGAGGGTGTGGGGGAGGGGGCGCAATTGTTTAATAGGGACAGAGTTTCAGTCTGGGAAGATGAAAACAGCTCTGGAGATGAAGGATGGCGATGGTTGTGCAACAGTGTGAATATACGTCATGTCACTGAACTGTACACGAGAAAATGGTTAAGATGTTAAATTTTATGTTAGGCATATTTTTCCACAATTAAAAAAAAAAATAGCTACAGTGGCCTCAGGATCCCCACCACTCTGACGAGAGGGGCGTTGTCTTAAAGGAAAGGATGCTTCTTCTTCAGATGCCCCCTGACAAATCAGCCCTCTGATTAGGGTCACATTCTCGGAGTCCTAAATCATCCCGGTGGGTGGGGCGGGGAGGAATTCTCTGTGCTGATTGGCTTCGGCCTAGTTCCTGACCTAATCACTGTGACAAAAGGTTTGGGATTATCTTTAGACTAGCCAGGTCAGCCTTCACTGTAGGGCGAAGTCCACTTCCCCTGAACCAAATGAGGGAGGGGTTGCCAGGAAGGGAGGAGAGTGGGGTTACCTGGAAGGGTGGAGACAGGAAGGGAAGTGAAAATGGAGGCTGGTGGGTGTGACAGAGACTGTTGGCCATCTTCCAACATTCATTGTCCCTTTCTCCTGGACACATGACCAGACTACATTTCCCAGCCTCCTTTGCTGTTATGTGAGGCTCAGGACTAAGGACTGGCCAGTGGAATATGAATAGAAGGTCTTATTTTGCATCTAGACCAAAGCCTGAAAGCCGCAAGCCTGCCTCCTCCATGTTCTTTTTACTTTGTCCCACAGCTTCAACCACGCAGAGGAAGAGACAGTTTCTGGGGGATGGTAAAGCAACTCAATAGAAGGAATCTGGGTCCTTATATAATTGCCCTTAAAAATGGGACCACTTACATCACCATTGTTACATGTAAGAGAAAAAATTTTCTACATTTTTTTAATTTAAATTCAATTAATTAACATATAATGTATTACTAGTTTCAGAGGTAGAGGTCAGTGATTCATCAGTCTTATATTATACCCCATGCTTCCTTAATGTCCATCACCCAGTTTCTATCATTTTTAAGGGGCAGTCCAGGTGAGCAAACTGTGGCTCATTGCCTGTTTTTATAAATAAAGTTTTATTGGAACACACACATGCTCATTCATCTACATATCGTCTAGTGGCCGCTTTCGCCCTTTAATGGCAGAGTTGAGTAGTTGCAACAGAGACTGTATGACCCACGACACCTACAATATTTACTCTTTGCCCCCTTAAAGGAAAAGTTACCGACCCCTGCCCTACATCATTCTTGGATGTCTTTGGTACAGCAGCGTAGCCTTCCCTTAGCTAAGGCCGTACACAGCCAACACCGCGCACTACAGGACATGCATGAAAGCGTCTTCCATTGAAATGATAAATTACTTATTACCAGTAGATAGCACCTGTATATGCTAGTGTCCACTTCGGGTGACCGTCAGTCTCAGGCGTGGTGACCCAAGCAACGTCGCACCAGGCAGCCATGGGAAAATTTCAATACAGATCAGCAGGCTGGGGACAAATATATATTTTATTCCTCTTGGGTAGCTTTGATTTCTTTGGCAGAAGCTGGACCAACTTTCACATCACAGTTATGAGAAAAGACATGTGTAGAAATCTGGGTTGACTGGCCCCACGCTTACTTCAGTGCTGTTTGAGCCCCTTACAGATCAGCGCCCAGAAAGCCACCCATCTGATCCAGCCCTTAATATGCCTCTGGACACTGTTCTGGATGCTTCTTCCGGGCTGGTTTCTGCTCCCCCGGCCCTGGCTGTGGCTGACGGGGGGTGGGGAGGTGAGGGGGTGGGGGGTTGTTCTGGACCACCACTGCGCAGACAGCTGCTGGTCCTCAGGGTTTCTCACAAGAAAGGGCTTTTTACAGCTCCTTTGGGGACAATTCTGACCCAACAGGACGAGGAGACAATGTGAGTCTGAGAGTCGCCTCTGAAGGGAAATGTCCCCGTCGTGATGGGAGATTTGAAGGGTGATGGGAGATTTGAAGGGTTGGGGTCGGGTATGAACTCTGAGGTGAGGGAGGGAAATTCCTTAGGCCAACACACTAACCAGCAGCTCAAGGGTGAAGCCCTGGTGCTCATAAGGGGCTCAAAACAGCGCTCTGGAGTCAGATGCGGGATCTGAAGGCCAGCCCCTCCATTTGCTAACTGTGTGTATTTAGGCAAGTTACCTAACTTTTCTCTGTTTCAAACTGGGTTGGTAACAGTAGTACCTCTCTCATAGGGTTGTTATAAACTTTACACACATCTTGCTCAACAAATGTAGCTCTTAGCTCCAGAGGGTTAGACCTCTGATCACTGCTAGCTTTAAAGACGCCATGGAATAATTTAAACATGTGAGTGCCAGGGAGCTTTGTGCAAAGCAAGCCTGCCAGAAGGGAAAGCAGGTCTGTTCCTGACTGCATCCACTCCCTGGGGAGCGCAGAGCAGGGCGGAGGGGAGGAGCCAGAAGGAGGGAGAAGGCTACCCCGTAGCTTCTTTCTTTTTTTTAATTTAATTTAATTTTACTATATTGTTAGTCCCCATACAATACATCATTAGTTTTTGATGTAGTGTTCCATGATTCATTGTTTTCATATAACACCCAGTGCTCCATGCAGTACGTGCCTTCCTTAATACCCATCACCGGGCTCACCCATCCCCCCACACCCCTCCCCTCTAAAACCCTCAGTTTGTTTCGTGGAGTCCATAGTCTCTCATGGTTCATCTCTCCCTCCAATTTCCCCCCTTCATTTTTCCCTTCTCCTAATGTCCTCCATGTTATTCCTTATGTTACACAAATAAGTGAAACCATATGATAATTGACTTTCTCTGCTTATTTCACTTAGCATAATCCCTTCCAGTCCCATCCATGTTGATGTAAAAGTTGGGTATTCATCCTTTCTGATGGCTGAGTAATATTCCATTGTATATATGGACCACATCTTCTTGATCCATTCGTCTGTTGAAGGGCATCTCGGCTCTTTCCACACTTTGGCTATTGCGGACATTGCTGCTATGAACATTGGGGTGCATATGGCCCTTCTTTTCACTACATCTGTGTCTTTGGGGTAAATATCCAGTAGTGTAATTGCTGGGTCATAGGGTTCAACATTCTCAAATCAACCAATGTGATAGAACACATTAACAAGAGGAGAGAAAAGAACCATATGGTCCTCTCAATTGATGCAAAAAAAAGCATTTGACAAAATACTGCCCCGGTAGCTTCTTTCCACTAAAAGTTACTGGCAAGAGAATGGAAATTTGCCAGACCTAGAAAAGTAATCTCTGGGCCCGATCTGCACTTGACCCTTGAACACTGGAAATGGTTTACCCTCCTAACCAAGAGTAATGATCTAGTGCCGCTAAGCTCTTGGTAAATGCTCATTCAAAGTTGTTCAGAAGGACCTGGCCAATCATGATCTCAGAGTCCTAGGGTTGAGACCCGCATCGGGCTCCTTGCTCAGTGGGGAGTCTGCTTCTCCCTCTCCCTCCCCGCCCCCGCCCCCCCGCTTGTGCTTTCTCTCACTCTCTCAATCTCTCTCTCAAATAAATAAATAAAATCTTAAAAAAAAAAAAAAAGAAGGACCTGGCCAAATCTTTCTTATCCATGAGACTCTGTTTCAGCATCACTTCCACAGGGAGGCCTGAGCTGGGGGAGCCCCTCTAGCCCTCCCCCACGTCACCTTGCATGCTCCCATTATAAACTCATCACATGTCTATTTTTGCAACTTGTTCAACAAATATATGTTTAGCGCCTACCACGCCTAGCTCTTTGTTTGTTGTCTGTTTGCCCACTGGACTCCCTGAGTGAGGGCAATGTCTTGCCACCCCCAACTCCCTGGTGCCTGCACCTGGCCTGGTCCATGGATCTTCTGAGCATTCATGACTCTTGCTCTGTGAATGACTGAGGCCCCCAAAGCTTCGCGACTCTAAAGGATAATCATAGCTACCATGAATTCAGGGCTGTGTTCCAGCCATGACGTAATGCTGCCTACTTATCTAACAACTCTGTGAAATAGACATTCCCATCCCACTTTTCCAGGTGAGGAAGTGAAAGCTCCCAGCTCTCACCCTGCCCGACCTCACGCAGCTCCCGGCTGAGATCTGTGTGGTTCGGCACCCTTCACTACCCACCCACTGCTAACCAGCTCTACGCTAACCATGCTGCCCCTTGCTGGGTAGAGACATCCATCTTATTCCAAATCTTTGATTTGGCTTAGAAAACTAAAGCAGTCAACTCCCATCTTCTATGGTTTCATGATTCCGTCGTGCAGGTGGTTCTTGGGACAGCCCCCACCTCCAGGGCAAATAAGTCAGGGAATTGTTAACACTAAGGTCAAAGACTATGAAGCAGAGCAACCTAGGCGACTTTCCTGTCTCAGGAAGACCAGACACATGGAGCCGATCTCCATGGGGAAGCTGTGTGGCTAGTTGATGGGACCTCATCAAGTCTTTGGATGACAACCTCCCCACCTGGGGAGTCTACAAGTTGGGGCTGTGGGGCTTCACTCACCTCCCTTCTGATAAGATGGAGGTGAGCTTAGGCCTGAAAGCATCACAGTGTGTGCAGGGTCCCCATGCCTGAGGGTCAGCTGGTCGCAGCCCCTTCCAGAAGCCTGGGCTTGTGAACAAGCCTCTGGTAAGGCATTGCACTGTGACTGCCTGGAAGAGAGGAATGCTAAGACCACCAACATTGATCCCCATTTTCTATAAGTCCAAAGTTAGTCATAAAAGAAAATGCCCCAATTTTGGCCTCTGTGGGGTGAGGGGTGGGAGGGGGAGGGGGAGGATGGAATTGAAAATCCCAGAGAAGTAAACAGTCCATCTGACGGAGGGAGAGGCCTCCTTCTGCCGTCACCATCCCTGGTGACTGGAGAACAGGCTGAAAGCCCTGGGAGGAGGGGGAGACACAGGTGCAGAACTGGGCCAGGCTCTTAACAAACACAACGCTCAGAAATAAAAGCAGGGCTCAGGATCACCTGGGTTTCCACTTACCTTCTCAGAGTGAGTCCGGGACCACCCACCAGGGACGGTGGTATGAGCTCAGTTCGTTCGGTTCTAGAACCTTTGTAACTTCATGCTTGCTATGCTGGTGATTGCTTGTCTCACTTCCTAGAGGAAAAGCAGCCCGGGGAAGGAGGGTCTGTGAGCCGGTGTTGGAGGAGGAAGCCGGGAAGCCAGCAGTCCACCCACCAGCTACGCCCAGGGCCAGAGGGGGAGTGACTGCTCCCCCCATAGAGGGGACGCTCAGCAGGGTCCCCAGGACTTGATCCAGGAAGGCAGGCAGGGGTCACCAGGGCAGCCTGTGGGCCTCCGAACGGGCCTGGAGTGCCGCAGGGGCAGGCTCAGGGTGGGGGGCTGGGGTTCCCTAATGACTAGGGCCCGGGACAGTGGAGAGAACCTGGCTCAAGAAATTCACAGATTTCTCTGGGTGAATCCCTCCACCGCGGGCTAGCAATCCACGAGCAGTGTGACCTTCCTCTGTCTCACTGATCATGTCGGAGCCTCAGTTTCCTCATCTGTAAAATGGAGATAATCCAGGCATGATGATGAACGACTACATGTATACAGCCCGCCCCAGGTCTGACGGAGAGTACAAGCCCCATAAATGCTGGCTGTTCCGTGGCCTGCCCACCACTGCCCCCCACCCCCCAAGGCTGTCCTCAGTCGCTCAGTCCAGGCATCTCTTAAATGAAACCAAGGCAAGGACAGCAGTGAGAACAGGGACGTGCTTGTGGGAAGTTCACGGCCGCACGTGCACCTGAGCTGCGAGCCTGCTCTCCTGGCCAGGGGCTAAAGTCCATGGACTCAGTGACCCAGAAAGCATGGGTTACGCGGCGAGGCTTGGCCCCTGGGTGTCGGCTCCCCAGCTTCCCGGATTCCCGCGAGCCCCGCCCGCCCCCCAGTCTCAGCCGGCTCCGCCCCCCACCCCCGGGGCGGGCTGTGTTCCCGAAGGATCGGTGGCCCGAGGGAGCATGGCTTGCTCGGGCAGGAGCTGCCCCGACAGGCCAGTGTGGTGAGAGCCCTTGGTCTCTTCTGGGCTCACGCCACCCGAGCCTGGCCTCCAGCCCCAAGCTGGCTGCCTGCCCGCTCCTCGCGTCTCATTTGCTTATCGCTGTTTGTTTTGGAGGCTTCTGGGAAGCGAGTCTCCACCTGAGGGAAATCTTTGGCTCCGGGGACTTGTGACACCTGAGACTTTGAACTCTTCGGGACGCCCGGCACACGGTGGGCCACCTCCGGCCCCGCGGGTGGCGACAAGCTTTACCTTCTCTCAAGCCTCCAGGGCACCGTCTCTGAAAGACGACCGAGGTCGTGGACGGGACCTGCTCTAAGTGGCCGCCACCCGGGGGGGGGGGGGGGTTCCGTGCCGTGTGGCCTCCCGCTCCAGCTCAAAACAGAAATTATAAACATCTTGTATTTCTCCCATAATTTGTTTGGATTTCTTTCACCATGAAAGTTAACGACTCGGGGCATCTGGCTGGCTCAGTCGGTAGAGCACCGGGCGCGGGACTCTTGATCTTGGGGCCTGTGAGATCGCGCTTCACGTTGGGTAGAGAGATTACTTAAAAATAAAATCTTAAAAAAGAAAGAAAAAGGTAATGCCTAGAGGAAGATCATTCAAGTGAGTTGTGAACATGTTCTTGTGATGGCCAATTGGCAAAAATCCCAAACACACCCCAGTTTGAGAGGCAAGGATGGAAAAGTATTTTTTGTAAAATCTCTGTTCAATAGAGAACTTTTAAAAGCACAAATTATCTGGCAGTGACTAATTTTTTTAATTGTGAAATAGATGGTAAAAAAAAAAAACCCTATGATATTTGGTAGAATCATAAAAGAAGCAGGTTTCATATAATGAATTTGCAAAAAAAAACCCTCACATTATTCCCACCAAACAGAGATAACTGTTTTGGTGTATATTTTGGTGTTGGAGATATCATACCATATATGTACTTTGGGTCATGGTTAGCATTCTAACCTAAGCATTTCCCCAAATCAGTCGATTCGTGTTCATTGACATGATTTTTAGTTTTTTAATGGCTGCCTAGCAGACCATTGTATATTTCAACAGAAAGCTTTCTTCTTTTTTTTTAACCGTTCCTTTTTGACATTTAGGTTGTTCCTACTTTTTGTTTTTATAAAAATATTTAGGGGCGCCTGGGTGGCTCAGTCATTAAGCGTCTGCCTTTGGCTCAGGTCATGATTCCAGGTCCTGGGATGGAGCCCGGCATCGGGCTCTCTGCTCCGCGGGAAGTCTGCTTCTCCCTCTCCCACTCCCCCTGCTTGTGTTCCCTCTCTCGCTGTGTCTCTCTCTCTGTCAAATAAATAAATAAAATCTTAAAAAAAAAATATTTAATAGCCATCTTTGCACATTTATCTGAGTACATACTTAGGATAAACCTCCTACAAGTGCAATTTCTGGGTCACGGAGTAAGAACATTCTAAGGCTCTTGGCATATCCCACCTTTGCTGGCTTCTCCCTCTGCTTCCCCAGAAACCATTCCCACTTTGAGATCAGATATTTGCTTGAACTTTCAGTAATGTTATGATTTTGTCTTTATACATTTGAATTACACCCCATCTAGATTAATCGTAACACTAATAATAATACCAGCTATTAGTTATCAGGTAGGTACTATGAACTGGACACGAGGCTAAGAACTTTATACACATTACCTCGCATAACCCCTCATTATGCTACAGGCAGGAACTATATCTCCTTCTTATTATAAAGACACAAATTTTGGATTTAACCTGGTACATGGGATGAGGTAGGGATCTAGTTCATCACATTCATCATATACTACTGATTTCCTTTTATATATAAGATCTCTTCCTGGGTTTCTTCTTCTCCATTGAGCTGCCTGTCCTTGTTTTGTTCCTCCTTGTTTTTATCACTGAAACTTTATAGTGTGTTTTATTTATTGATTAAGTTTTTTATTTTAATTTCAGTATACTGAATATGCACCATTACATTTGTTTCAGGTGTACAATATATACAATGTATCTTAATATCTGGGAGTACAGATCCACTCTGTTCTTTTCTCCCCAGCAATTTTGTAACACTATTCATCCATTTATTCTTCCAGCTGAATTGTTCCATGCAAACGCCTGGTGTCAGATTTTACAAACCTTAGATATTTTTATTAGAATTGCATCAAACTTACAAATTTGGGCAAATGGTATTTTACCATAGAGTTCTCGATGTGATGTTTTACCATATATTTAATGCCCCGCAGAGTAGCTTGGTAAAATTTTTATGAGCACTGTGCATTTCCTGTATACTTTACTTCTTGGTGTTGCTGTTGTAAATGGGACCTTTTGCATACAAATCTTCTGGCCTGGTGTTTGCTGCATGGACAGCCTTCCATTCAAGGGCAGCAAACCCCTGATCTCAGCTCCCGGCCATGACTATCTGGCAAACCCCAGGGCCCAGCAAGAGCGGGCTCCATCAGATGGCAATGGCCGCAGGCAGGGGCACAGAGGGGTTTTCGCTGCTTATTTGAAAGCAGTGATTCTGTTTGGGGTCTGTCTAGTGAAAAAAACAAAACAAAACTGGACCTTCAGAAAAATGCCCCCAATGCTGCCAACACTTCCAGAGGATTCATGGACAGCCCCCCCAAACAGACTTAAGGACCGTAATTAACACCCTTGCATTAAAAGGATGGCCCAGGGGCGCCTGGGTGGCTCAGTCTGTGAAGCGTTTGCCTTCGGCTCAGGTCATGATCTCAGGGTCCTGGGACTGAGCCCCGGGTGGGGTCCCTGCTCAGCGGAGAGTCTGCTTCTCCCTCTCCCTTTGCGGCTCCCTATGCTGTGCTCTCTCTCTTTCTCTCAAATAAATCAATAAAATCTTAAATAGATAGATAGATAGATGATAGGTAGATAGATATAGATAGATAGATAGATAGATAGATAGATAGATAGATAGATAGATAGATATAGATAGATAGATTGATGGCCGGCCCAGCCACAGTTTCCTCTAGGTGGGTGGTGCCGAGGACAGAAGTCCTCGGGTCTGTGTGACCCTAGGTGACTCACTTCTGAATCTTTATCTTCTTCAGGAGAAACATATCCACCCAATGCAGTGATAGCATCTTTTGGGGGTCACCTGAGGTGGTATTTGTGAAAGTGCTTTGGAATCCACAGCTCAGTAACACAAGGGTAAGAGACCATTCATTCCAGGAAAGGGACTGTGACGAGGTCTGGCTCAGACACGTGGGGAGGCCATCTCGGTTTCTTAGAGAGCACTGTCAGCTCCCATGCCATCACCGCTCCCCGTGAACTTGGTCTTCGCCCTCAGGAGAGGCCAGTAAAGGCCTTTGCGGCGTTCTTCTGAGGTTACGAGACTGTTATGCTGACCCAGCTGAAACCATGATTAAGTGGCTGGATGTTGGAAAAGCAGCGTCGGGGCTCGTGGTTCACAGATATCAGTTTCTGGGTTGTTATAAAAATTAATAATTAATCCTTTCCTTTGTGCTGGAGAACAGCCGGGAGCCTTAGCGAAGTCTTGCACAGAGTGATTGAGAACAGGACCGGCTGACAGGGGCCCCGTGAGTCCTGGCTCTGCGTGACCACAGGCTGGCTCTCTTCTCTGACCTCCCAGGGTCCACACTATAGAACGAGGGGCTACACTCCATGAAAGTGAATTTGCCACTGGAAAATTCTGCAAAATATGATAATAAACCCGAATCCATTACAAGAGGTTTTACAGGTCTTCCGAGTTGTCTTCCTGCTCCCAGCAGCTGAGGCCACCTGAACTCATGCCCCAGCTTGAACTTCGGGCTCTAGACACATCAGCCTGTGTGTGTGTGTGTGTGTGTGTGTGTGTGTGTGTGTGTGTGGTAGGGGTGGGGGTGGGGGCATGTCACCTGGGGAACGTCTTTCTAAATACAAAAAATGGCTACTCCCTTCTTCCCAGGATAAATCTGAATAGGGGAGGGGATATGCCGCATGGGTCTTGCCCCCATCCCCCATCCATACCCCACACTTTCCAAGGGTGAAGGGCAGAGGAGAGGGGGCAGCAAGGGGATTAGCAGGAGCATTTTGAACACTCCACTCTCCATGTGGAGGGTAGGAGGGAAGCCTTGTCCTGCTTTCATCCTCTCCTTGGAGAATGAGCCACATGAGGCATGGAATGCCTTTCTGAATTCCCAGCTCCTGGCTCAGTGACCGGCATACAACAAGAGCTTAAGAAAAGACTCTTGGACAAATGAACGAGGCCTTCTCCCAGGCTTTGCTTAAACCTCGTCATACCCGGCACGCCTGGGTGGCTCAGTCCGTCAGGTGTCTGTCTTTGGTTCGGGTCATGAATCCAGGGTCCTGGGATCGAGTCCCACACCTGGCTCCCTGCTCAGAGGGGAGCCTGCTTCTCCCTCTGCCTGTCGCTCCCCCTGCTTGTGCTTGCTCTCTCTCTTGCTGGCAAATAAATAAAATCTTAAAGAAAAAAAAAAAACCCAAACCTTCTCATACCCTTCCCTGCCCCCTCTCTGCCAATTTGGGTATCTCCTCTCTTTCTGACTTCTGCTCAAAATTCACCTTCCCAGGGTGCCTCCAATGGAACCCTCACCCCTTCCCAGTTCTGCAGCCTCAGCCCTGTGTCCCCGTGTCTCTGCTGATCCCACGAGGAAGCTGCCTGTGTATGAGTTCTTGGAAATGGCCCTACAGATAATTTAATGGGCAGCATTACAGATTATCTTTGTCTTGCTGCTACAATAACAAATGTACACACTCTGCCCAGATGAGCAA